GCAGCCAACGCCGCCGTCACGCAGCTCGTTTCCACGTCCTTCCCCAAGCCGGGTAACGGGGTTTGTTTACACAGGGGGGTTGTTTTGCTTTATTTCACCCTTGCCTTTGTCTTCCCTCCTGCTCAGCAAAGGCAAGGGAATTCACCTGCCACTGGCCCCAAACAAACCTCCCATCTCCAAACAATGGAAAATTCTGCCCTGGATGCAAACTTTGGTCCTAAACCTGCTGTCTGAGGAGCAGACCCTGCAGTGCATGTCCTGGGGGATCGATTGCATCCCCGCAGAGAGGTGGGGAATTTGGCCACAGACTTTATAGCTGGAAGGACTTTGTTGCCAGGGGACCTCTTGCAAGCCACACACGCCGAAGTGCCTGAGCCGAGGCGGGATCAGGTCCTTGGAAGCCAGCCTGAGAATAACAGGCAGGAAGAAGGCTGGCTTGTGTGAGTGCACAGGGAGCTTTTTATCAATTGCAGATGCTGCTCTCTCTCTATCTTTAAAAATCAGTATATTTTCTGATTAAAAATAAAACCCTACATGTCATGACTCCAGCAATGTGGGCTGGGCTGTTGTGGTATTTATTTTTAAAGAGAACAATACAGCAGCTGAGTTATTGTGACACCGCCTGCATATTGTGCAGTAGCTTTTTCACTTCAACATCTCCATATTAGTGAAAACTGTGACAGCTTCATGCCAAGGATTATTAATAGTGCAAGCAGGCTTTATGTCCCTGCAGAATAAGGGCTGGAAAACAGGGTAGACAGACTCCCTGGAGCGGGTCAGCGTCCTGGTCTGCTTTTTACATGCAGAGCTGCCCTAGCTTGGGCTTTGTACAAGGGCAGTGAGATGCAGTTTGTAATTGTGCAGGACACCAGACTAGATCGCCGCGGTCCGCTCGCAAAGCTAAGGCCTGCCTCCGGAGAGCTCTGCCTTCCATGGCACGCACTGGAGCAAGTCTGGAGCATCCCTCATGTTCCCTGCCAGGCTTGTCAGCTTGCTGCCATGCGGGGTGAAGGAAGGGACAATAGAATGCAGGAGGGTTTGGCCCTCAGCTAAGCGATGAGTCAGATATCTGCCTCATCTGGAGTACCTCATCTGGAGTACTGTGTCCAGTTCTGGGCTCCCCAGTTCAAGAAAGATGAAGAGCTACTGGAGAGAGTCCAGCGGAGGGCTACAAGGATGGTGAGGGGACTGGAGCATCTCCCCTACGAGGAGAGGTTGAGGGAACTGGGCTTGTTCAGCCTGGAGAAGAGAAGGCTGCGAGGGGACCTTA